TTCGTTCGTTTCGCCACTTGCTAACTGATGGCGAATCGATGACGGCTACAATTATACAAAATTCTACATCCGATTGAGAGAAAAAACCGGTTCGAGGAAATGTTCCGTTAGTTTTGTCAGCAAGTGCTTTATGTGAATAAGTGTGTATTGTATTTCAATTGTAACAGTTCGAAATTATTTTTAATTTATGCAATTTCGACTACCTTCAATTGCTTTATAAACCCTTTATCTATTAAATGTGTTTATCCTATTATAGCGAATGACCATTAACAATGTTGTTGCCTTCGGGGCGCTCAAACACCTTGACAAGAATATCATCTCCTCTCCTGACCACGAACGTCATAAATAAGTCAGAAAACGTGCAGCCAGTAGCTGCGACAGGAGCTACTGACAGTGGGCCAACAACTATAGAGTCAACAAACGCAGAGGCGGGCAAACATTCCTCAGCACCCTGTAACCAATGTGAAAACAGGGCCACTTGCACCGTGCATGCTGTGTGCGCTCCCAGTCTTCCACCAGTATTAAACAGTACAGATGCAGCTACGCCAGTTTTGGATAGTGCGGGAACTTGGGAAGAAGTCGAGCGACACCTACAAGCATTACAGGAAAAACTCAAGGAGAACTGGACCGTACACGTGGCTAAAGAGGGTAGACTATATTACTGCAAGTAAGTATAGAATGTAGGTGATCTCAAAAAAATCATATGTGCATTTGTTATCATCTACATACACATTATTTACAAATATTTATGTGCATATGGATGTATGAGCAGCAACTAAATATGTAAAGTTAAATGATATGAACGGCATGTAATTATTGAGTCACGGAAACTAATATAAACAGTAACCCCAAATTTGTGGAGGGGCGACTACTATCCGCCAGAAATTAGCGCAGTATAGGGGCTGTTTACCGCGCAACGAACTGCATATTATGCTTAACTACATATATTCACTAATTGTTTAATTGGTTGTACATGAATGAATTCGTTGAGGGCAATATGAAATAGAACAGTGGTCAAATAACTGCCTCGAAAGACAACATTGTCTACTTCATTAAACTTGGAATTTCTCTTTACAAGTCAAAATATGTACGAGGTTTTACATACATACATACATACATACCATGCAATAAATTTAGATCTACTTACATATATATGTATGAGTATGTCCATATGTATTTAATTGAAACACATTCTTTGATACATAAATCAGATTCATTTTTGTTACCATATTTAATACTAGTCATATTGCACAAACCTCCGGCTGGTTGCCCTCCTGTGAAGATTGGGGCAAGAATGAGGAGCTGCCATATGGTTGGGAAAGAGCAGTTGATTCGAAAGGACGATCGTATTATATAAAGTGAGTATATGAACTAGTGTGATCTTTAAATTAATTATTCTGTACTCACTTCCAGCCATTTAAATAAAACATCAACATATGAGGCACCTGAAAGTGTTCGGTGGGACGAGAATCCACCAGAGCCTAGAATGGTCATTCTTCAACGCAGTCCTACCCTGGGATTTGGCTTTGTTGCGGGTAGTGAACGACCAGTGATAGTTCGTTTCGTCACAGATGGTGGGCCTAGCATGAACAAGGTACTCGTAAATGCACATGTATGTATATAGCTGTGCCTCTTGATTGTAGAGTAGGTAGAGGTAGAGTTGGGCTTTCTACTTCATTCCAGGGATTCAGTTCTTTTGTCCTTTTTGTTTTTAATGAACAACTAGTAGCAGTGTTGATATTCCAATAACAATTGTAATTGTTTTCAGTACAATTAGTTTTAAAAAGTACAAAAGTACAATTTACCGATTTTAAGTGTAAATTTCAACATCAAAAATACTTTTGTACCAACTGTTCAAATCTCTGCCAGCACTTTGATTATTAAGCAGTTTGCACCTAAGCAAAAGGAATATATATATGTATATATATATATATATATATATATATATATGTATCTGTATTCATATGGAATAGTAGCTTATGTCGAAAGGC